AAATTTTTACTCAGTTATATTCTGACAAGTAGACCCTTGTCATGTTAGATAACTATAGGATTGTTGTGCAAACCATTATCAAAAAAGCAAATAAATCTAATTTTATTTCAAACCAATTTTATACATATAGGTACTACATGTGGACCTCTCTCAGATTTGTTCATTTTCTAATGATATCTTCTGTTCTTTAATTGCCATGTGCATTGCTAACAGCGGAGCTATCTCAGCCGACAGGCTGCTTGTTTTGTTTTTTTGACAGGCTGGCAATGATTCTTTTATGGATGTATTTCTCTAGAAATTTTATTAATTTTAAAGGGAACTGTTGATGCTGTTTGCCCAATTTTTATGAAAAATCTTATTAAAATAAATGCATGCAAATTGACAAGAAACTTTTTTCTGAAAATTAGTAATTGAACAACGGATGTAGCAGTGAGCAGTGATGAATGAGCTGATTGTACATTGTATTTGATAAACATTTACTAGTTCTGGTTCCCATGACGCCGGATTTGCATTATTTAAATATCTATGCCAATGACCTGTGTAATAATAACCTCTTCCCATTAATGAACACCCTGCTAAAGGTAAAAGGTTATATATAAAGTGTCTCCTGACCCCTCCAACTCCGGTGCACCATTAAATTTTCAAAAAGTGAAGCACCTGCAAGTGTGAGAAAAGTGACACTTTTGTTATATGATTTGGGGACAGTCATACTAAATTTACACAAGTCTTGTCAATCCTACTGACAAGGGAATTGCGTTAGGGAATATTACTCACAGGGGAATTGTGTTAGGGAGTCCTACTGACAGGGGAGTTGTGTTAGGGAATATTACTGACAAGGGGAATTGTGTTAGGGAATATTACTGACAAGGGGAATTGTGTTAGGGAATCCTACTGACAGGGGAATTGTTTTAGGGAGTCCTACTGACAGGGGAATTGTGTTAGGGAGTCCTACTGACAAGGGAATTGTGTTAGGGAGTCCTACTGACAAGGGAATTGCATTAGGGAATATTACTGACAGGGGAATTGTGTTAGGGAGTCCTACTGACAGGGGAATTGTGTTAGGGAGTCCTACTGAGAGGGGAATTGTGTTAGGGAATATTACTGACAAGGGAATTGTGTTAGGGGATATTACTGACAGGGGAATTGCGTTAGGGAATCCTACTGACAGGGAAGCTGTGTTAGGGAGACCTACTGACAGGGGAATTGTGTTAGGGAGTCCTACTGACAAGGGAATTGTGTTAGGGAGACCTACTGACAGGGGAATTGTGTTAGGGAGACCTACTGACAGGGGAATTGTGTTAGCGAGTCCTACTGACAAGGGAATTGTGTTAGGGAGTCCTACTGACAGGGGAATTGTGTTAGGGAGTCCCAATGACAAGGGAATTGTGTTAGGGAGTCCTACTTACAGAGGAATTGCGTTAGGGAATCCTACTGACAGGGGAATTGCGTTAGGGAATCCTACTGACAGGGAAGCTGTGTTAGGGAGACCTACTGACAGGGGAATTGTGTTAGGGAGTCCTACTGACAAGGGAATTGTGTTAGGGAGACCTACTGACAGGGGAATTGTGTTAGGGAGACCTACTGACAGGGGAATTGTGTTAGCGAGTCCTACTGACAGGGGAATTGTGTTAGGGAGTCCTACTGACAGGGGAATAGTGTTAGGGAGTCCTACTGACAAGGGAATTGTGTTAGGGAGTTCTACTGACAAGGGAATTGTGTTAGGGAGTCCTACTGACAGGGGAATTGTGTTAGGGAGTCCTCCTGACAAGGGAATTGTGTTAGGGAGTCCTACTGACAAGGGAATTGTGTTAGGGAGTCCTACTGACAGGGGAATTGTGTTAGGGAGTCCCAATGACAAGGGAATTGTGTTAGGGAGTCCTACTTACAGAGGAATTGCGTTAGGGAATCCTACTGACAGGGGAATTGCGTTAGGGAATCCTACTGACAGGTGAGCTGCGTTAAGGAATCCTACCGACAGGGGAGCTGTGTTAGGGAGACCTACTGACAGGGGAATTGTGTAAGGGAGTCCTACTGACAAGGGAATTGTGTTAGGGAGTCCTACTGACAAGGGAATTGTGTTAGGGAGTCCTACTGACAAGGGAATTGTGTTAGGGAGTCCTACTGACAGGGGAATAGTGTTAGGGAGTCCCATTAACAGGGGAATTGTGTTAGGGAGTCCTACTGACAACGGAATTATGTTAGGGAGTCCTACTGACAAGGGAATTATGTTAGGGAGTCCTACTGACAACGGAATTATGTTAGGGAGTCCTACTGACAACGGAATTGTGTTAGGGAGTCCTACTGACAGGGGAATAGTGTTAGGGAGTCCCATTGACAGGGGAATTGTGTTAGGCAGTCCTACAGACAAGGGAATTATGTTAGCGAGTCCTACTGACAACTGAATTGTGTTAGGGAGTCCTACTGACAAGGGAATTGTGTTAGGGAGTCCTACTGACAAAGGATATTTTGTTTTTGCTCATTTAAGTGCAAAGAACAAATATATTCTATGATTAACTTCAAATCTGATAAGATTTGGTGTTAAATCTGTGTATGGTGAGTAATTTACAAAATAAAATATGTCTTAAAATAATTGTTTACTTTTCATCAACAGTTCTAAAATGTGCTGGCAGCATGGTCGTGATTATAGCAGCTTTGCATGGATTGTTGTCAAGGTGTATTTCAAAGACAAATGGGAACGCTACAAAAATAATAACCAAAGTTGGGATGATTCAGATAAAAATTCATCAAAGACAAATGGTACTGGATCGAGTCACAATATAGAATTACCGGCTACAGGTGACTTGTTTATTATCATATTAATGTTGGTATTTATTAAAAGTACAGCAAATGATAAAAGAAGTACAACAATTTTGTCCCATTTGGTTGAAGTCCAGACACAAGGACTTGTTATCGTCTGGCTAATTATTCTGGCGTGAGTTATACCGTTAAAGTCCTAATATAAACCGCATACGTAATAGTAACCGCACCCCCAATTCCGGCTTCGGGGTTAAAGAGTTCTTAACAAAAATTGAAAACTTGAAAAGTACCTATTACTAACCGCACCCCCAATTCAACAAGACCGTAACTGACTTCATTGTTTCAACCAGCTGTTCCAAAACGGCATTGTTCCTAATCCTATTCTTTGTTTCGACAACATGCCTAAAAATATTCACACCTATTTATTGTTCAGCGGTGATAAGATGTCAGACTGGCAATGAAACTGCTTTTGTTCTGGCGGCGACCTCTGTCAATACTCTTTCTGAATACGTCTGTGTTTCGTAAGTTTTAGACAATGAGCTTTTATCACCGTAAAAGTGTTAAACTGAGCATTGAAGAATAA